TCCTCCGTCTTTCGCCGCTTTTGGCACTATAAAATTAATACAAATCAAAACACCGAAACTAAAACGATAATATTACGAAACAGTAAAACCTAGTCTTTTAATATTGCATTATTGATGATGAAAGGCTTTTAGAAACAAAAAGTATAACAAACGTCAATAATTGTCGGTATCGGAATCGAGTACAAAAATGTACCAGTACGCCTTTCAAAATTTCTTCTTCGTTCTATTTCGAATGCAGATGGGTATTTCGTGGGAATACATAGTGTACGTTTATTATGACTGCGACATCAGTAAACACAAATCTACATCTGAGTTATTTATCCTGTAAAAACATTTCAATTATCAAGCAATTTATTTTTAAGCAACAAAAGATACGATTTAATTTCGAACACTTCGGACAGAAGTTGCCCGACAGAGGACACTCCGCTACTGGCTGGCTCCATAAAAATGATTAAAAGTTTGAGAAATATCGTAATCTGATTTTGTATACATAGTTACAAATAATTCCAATCACCTCAATTGTCTAGGTTTATCAAAACATGTTCGACCGTAAACTTCGCTTAGAATCGTTTTTCGTTTGCAACGGTTCCCATCATATTATATACTCGTGTATTCTACCTCTGCGATTTCCCACTGGAAATAGCACGTCGTACACACAATGCGAAGTATATCCGCTAAAAGTATAAACCTACTCGTACAACTTAGGTACTACATAAATAAAACTTGGCCTGATATTATTATTATTATTATTTTTTTTTTTCTGGATACCATGAACGGTGTGTGAAGGGAGTATTTAGGTGAAACCTCACACGGGTCAGGTTGAATTAAATCATCGCATGCGACGCTAATTTGTCTGTTTGTTCCGTATAGACTCTCGTTTTATTGGTCCGATTCGAGCGCCGGGTCATATCGTTATATAATAATTTAAAGGATATAATATCGTGTGTTACATGTTATACTGTTATATTCAATCCGCATACCTATATACATCGATGCAAAGTTGTGGGGGGGCGATTACAAATTATTTGGATTATCGGAAGTTTTCTGCGCGTATACCTATAGGTGCGCAACCTATAAAGGTCGGAATCGTTATTGCCGCGGTAATATAGGCAGTGGCGTAGCCAGAACTTTATATCCAGATGGGCCAGCCCGAGACCAACGGTTTTTCGGGTGTGCCGAATCGTATATATACATATCTATTATCTTTATGCCAGAGCGGGGCTCCCACTATCCCTCCCCACCCACTCGCTATGCTCAGAGTCTGAAACGAGTAGACACCTACGCACGGACGGTTTTATATTTAAATTTTACAAAAATAATAATCATCGAGCACGTTACAACGTTACTGCAGGTAGGGCAAAGACATTTTACGCTGAGCTCGGGCTCACACCGGCCTGCCCGTGGCGCCGCCACTGAATACACGAGTAGTTTTATATACGGCCGAGTTTGGCGTCGCCGTTTAATATTATATCCATTTGACGCATTTAGGGGTTTGTCAAGGCGGGCAGATGTTGGATTCGGAAATTGCGTCGCGTTGAATAACGTGAATCTGGGTGGAATATATAAAAACAAATATTAATTTTTAATAATTTATTTATGTTTGTAAACAATATTTTACAATTCAAACCGCGCGAACATTACCATTGAAATCAAACACCTAAATACGGGTACAGGATTATTTATTTACTACTTAAGTACATGCCGACCCATTCCGTATTATAGTGGTTCGAAGAGGTTTAAACAAGAAAACGTATACGATCGGGAGTTTTTTTTTTCAAATTGCGTATTATGTGTACCGGTACATTGAGTTGTGGATGAATTTTCCGACTAAAAAGTAAGGACGTGAAAAAGCAGGCGTTCGTATAAATAATGGATATTCTAAAACAAAAAAAAAACAAAATTAAAAAAAATAGCCAAAGGGGGAAATTGTTAGCGGAGAGGTAGGTAAAGGGGAAACGCGATACCGATTATATTATTTGTATAATAGCTGATTGGTTTACCGCGGACCTCGTATAATGTGCACCTATACTGCAGGGTTTTTTTTTTTTTTTAGTTTTACGACGTCGCGATCGATTTTGTCGAAATTGCGTAACGCCGCACACTTG